ACTACTCCCGTTCCAGCACGCTTAACAACAAAGTTCTAAAATTAAAGAGGTGCCAAATGCTTCCTAAAACTAATTGGTGAGAGGAAGGTGGACACTTTGTATTTAACCACATCTCTTTGTAGCCCCAAGCTGAGGTAGATTCCTATAGGGCACCCCCTATAGTTCACTACGGCAGTGCGGAGCCCCACTACTGAGTGGTGGATGGACAGGAGCAGCTTCGCAAGATACACGTCTCATATACCTCGTCAGGTTGGGCTATCAATACCCGATACCGTGCTAAGCACAGTAGCGAATCCCTAAGGGTGATCGATGGTCCCCCATAAGACCAACAATCCCCCCCAAAAACACCCGGGGGATTCGAGCCTGCTTCCTCGCTCTGATACCACTTGTAGGATCGTTTTCTAGAACTTTCCAGTGGGTCACCCATCCTGGGACTACTCCCGTTCCAGCACGCTTAACAATAGAGTTCTGAAGTTAAAGAGGTGTCAAATGCTTCCTAAAACCAATTGGTGATAAGAAGGTAGACACTTTGTATTTAACCACATCACTCTGTAGCCCCAAGCCGAGGTAGATTCCTATAGGGCACCCCCTATAGTTCACTACGGCAGTGCGGAGCCCCACTACTGAGCGGTGGATGGACAGGAGGGGCTTCGCAAGATACACGACTCATGTACCTCATAAGGTTGGACTGTCAATACCCGATACCGTGCTAAGCACAGTAGCGAATCCCTAAGGGTGATCGATGGTCCCCCATAAGACCAACATTTGGAGCTTATACCTTGTTTGGGACAATGGAAATTGTTGAGGAGCCTCCCTAACTCATCAAAGTAAGTTTTAATTCACATTTGAAACTTTGAATGAATTTTTGGGTGTAGAAATGAGTCCAAAAAATTTTGTGTCAAGCGATGTACAAGACAAATATTTGAATAAAATATTTTTTCTTACCAAAAATATTTTCTAATATCAAAATAAGTATGTTGATAAATGTTTGACAAACCTTTTGTAACTGACTCAATAAAATGTATTTTGAACAATTAAACGATTTTCCAATTGACTCCAACAATATATATAAATTTTATATGAACTCTCATAAAAATAATTTTGGAGAAAAGATTATTTTTTTCATCCTTACAATAATTCCTGGACTCAATAAAATAAAAAGTCTTCGGAAATCTTCTACTCCTCTGAGTCCTCCGTTAGGCGCTCCGAACGCATCTCGGACTTCAATAAAATCTTGTGCACCTTCTTGAATACTTCAAGGAACGGCACTTCAAGTCTTCGTGTTTGTCGATGTGGCACTTTAATCTTGACTTGAATAAATTATGTTGGTCAATTATCAAAACCCTTGAGTCAATACTTAACAACACAGAAAAGGTTGAACTCATGCATTCCAACAAAAAAGATAAAAAAATTAGATTAAAAATGAAAATATTTAATTTGAAAAATGAAGTACTCCCTCCGTCCCAATTTGTTTGGGACATTTTGAAGGACATGCAAAACATCATCTTTTTAGAAATCATTTTATTTACAAGTTTGTAAAGAAATAAAAAATAAAAATTACACCGTTCAAAACTATATAAAAAATTTTACAAAACAAGATGCAACAATAATATGTTATTTTATCAAATTGTCAACTAAAATGAATAAACAAACAAATGTTATCTAAAGACCGAAATAGTAATTGTAACCTTCTTTTGGGGACGGAGAGAGTATATGTTAAATTTTTTATTTTGAATGCGAACATTTTTTTTAGTTTTTAAAAGTTTTAAAAAAATGTAGGTTTAAAAAAAATATTCATTATTTCACACAAATATTTTTCTTCTTTTTATTAAAAAAAGAAAAGAACAATAATGAAAAAGGAGACGAGCCATTGGCGTCCACTTCCAAAACCATAGGGGGCAGCAGAGTTATTTACCTAATATTTGGAGAATATTTTTTTCCAAAGGGGCATTAGCATAACAATATTTGAACCATGAGGGCAGTGGCGTAAGTTTTGAAACCATGGGGGTAATGACAGATATTTACCAAACCACAGGGGGTGTTCCCTACTACAGAAATTACTTTTTGAATCAATTATTTTTTACCTTTTAAATTGGTTAATAACTGATGCAAAAGGTAGCGATGCAATTGGTATACATACTTTGCATCGATTGTTCAACCGATTCAAAAGGTGCCCCAAGAATAAGACACAAATGATTATTTTTAACCAACTCATTCAAATCACTTATTAGTAATAACCGATTCAATATGTTATTGAATCGGTTATTACTAATAACCCATTCAAAAGGTAATACTCATTTGAATAAGTAATTAGTTATAGCTGATTCAATAGGCTCTTGAATCAGTTATTATTAATAACCGATTCAAAAGGCACCCCTTGTTGAAAATGCACACCCCATTTGCACTGGTTATCTCTAGACTCGATGCAGATGGGATAGTTGATTCGACCTTTTTTGTAGTAGTGGTTGGTGCAATAAACTCATTAAATATCTTATTTGTTGACTAAGTTTAGTTAACAATATGTCAACATCTATCATAGTTAAACTTTAGATTTTGATATGAGAGCCATATGATTCTATATGTGAATTATTGTGTTAGGTTTTGAGTTATAATTCTCTGATATAATAAAAGTGATTTCTTGTCAAATTGTGTGTTTTACTTTGCCTTTGATTGAAGCATTAAAATAAATAATTGGTAACAAAGACCAATTGGGTCTTTTCAGTCCAGACCAATTGGGAATCGGGTATAGACAAGACCAGACCGAAACCCGAAATACTAAATATGCTAGACCAAAGACCGATCCAAAATCTATTTGGTCCGGGTTTGGTCTAGACCTATAAGTGCGGTTCTGTTGGTTTTTTCTGTCTAGACCTAAACATGAACAACCCTAGTGTTAATTCTAAGCCTGCTCAATATGTCGTTCTTCATGAAACATTTTTAATTAGAAGTTCGTCATGATGTACAGTACATCCGGGTGTGCCACATAAATTCCTAGGAATGATGCGTGACCCCGTGGGAAGTATATAAAATAATGTTACATTAGATAAAGGATGGTTTTTATTTTCTAAAGTAGCTTTCTGTTTTGTATTATTGCACATACTTTTATTTAGCTTTATTTGAAACCTTTTGTTTTATAAAGACATTGACTTTGTTTACTTGGCCATGAACTTTCTTATATGCATGTTATCCTACACAAAAAGAACAATAATTGAATTATGAATGACTTAAATCTTTGAATGAGTACTAGTTAATAAAATCATATTATAACCAAGAATATGATTTTTTCAAATAGTATGAATTTTGGAAATTTTCATTAATTTCTAAAATGGGGTTCTTAAATTTTAAAAAATAAATCCTTAATGTGGAAATTTATTTTTTGAAGTTTATATATTTTTGGAAATATGGATTTCAAAAGTGATACACTCAATAAAATTCTTTTTCGGAGAATTGATGGATGACCCTTGGGAAGTATATAAAATCATGCCACTTTAGATAAAAGGATTTATACTAATTTCTAAAGTAGCTTTTGCTTTTTTATTACTACACATACTTTTCATATAGCTTTTTTGAAAATAAAATTTCTTTTATTTAATCAAGACATTTACTTTGTTTACTTGGCCATAAACTTTTTTATATGCATGTTAGCGTACACCCACAAAATAAGAATTGAATCATGAATGACAAAAATCTTGGAAATGAGTCTTAGTTAAGAAAATAAATTTATATTCAATGATATGATTTTTTTCAAATAATACGAATAATATATATATATATATATATATATATATCTATATATATATGTATATATATATATATATATATATATATATATGAAATGGTTATAAAATATTTTAAAATCTAAATGAACTGAATATTTTTAAACGAACCGAATATATTTAAACGAATCGAATATTTAAGCGAACCGAATATGTTTAATATATTAAACGAACCAAATACGAATCTTAAAAATTATTCGAATTCGAATTCGAATTCGAATATCACTCCATCTTAACGAATATGAATATTTTTCATGAATGTTTGTTACGACAGACGCGAGAAAGTATGAACACGAACAGTCGACAATCACAAGAAAAGACAAAGATTTAACGTAGTTTACTAACAACCTGTTAGTAACCCCCATGGACAGAAGAGAAAAACTATTATTGATCAATATTTTCTCACCAAATTACAAATTCTCTCTACCATGTATTGAGGAGTACAAATACAAGCCATATATATATAGGGAAGGGGATATGGGTAATCCTAATCCTACTACATATATGAATATGAGACTAAGGGGCTGTTTGGCAATTTCTGAATTGGTAAGTGCTGAACCAGTAAAAGGTCTGAACCATTAAGTGCTGAACTAGTAAGAGGTCTGGACTATTAAGAGCTAGTATATTGTTTAACTATTCAGAGGCAAATGTCTGATCAATTCAGATAAGAGGTCTTAACCATTCAGACTCTGTATAATACTTAACCATTCAGAGGCAAATCTCTTAACCATTCAGACATCTGAACCATTAAGAGGCTGAAACAAACAGTCTGAACCATTAAATGCTGAACCATTCAGACATCTGAACCATTAAGAGGCTGAAACAAACAGCCCCTAAGAAAGATAATCCTATCTTATTCCTAGTCCTAATCCTGATAGGTCTAGAATACAGATTCAAGGCATTTTCTAACAAATCTCCACCTTGACTTGAATCTCCTCAAAAGACAGCAGATGTATCAGATTTCCTTCTAGAAGTGACCAGATGTACCATAGGTACCAGAAGTCCAACCAAGGACACAAATGTCACTAAAAGATAGGACAAATTGTTTCACTTGAGTTTAGAAGTGTAGTGACACACCAAAACAGATTTCCCTCACTCATGGGAACAGATAACTCAAGCTAAAACACCAACAGATGCAAACTCCACCTTGAGTCCAGATGACTCTTCATGGAACCTGAACAGAAACAGATGACACCAACCTAGTGTCCAGATGACTCCTCCTGAAGCCCTGATTGCCCTTTATGGGCCCAGATTGCCCCATACGGGCCCAGATCGCCCCCTCCCGGGGCGCATATCGCCTTATTGAGGCGTAGAAACAGATGATTTTTCTAGGTGATCAACAGTCTCAATCCGTGCAGACGGAACCTCCACCTCAACATTAAGACTTTCATCACCTCTATGAATCTCAGATGCAACAATGACAGATCCTTGTAGAAGATATAAGGTACCATGCTTAATACCTTTCAGAACCACCTTCGAATCCTTGTTGACACTCATAACTCCACCTTTACCTTCGAAACTGAAACCCTTACTGTCAAGACGAGTCAAGGATATCAGATTCTTCGTCATCTGTGGAACATGCCTAACTTTATTCAAGGTGCAGAATGTACCATCATGAGTCCTCAACCTGATGGAGCCTATTCCAATTTGGAGTCTATTATGCAGAATCACACTTGGGAGTTAGTGAATCTACCTCCCGGATGCAAACCGTTAGGTTCTAAGTGGATCTTTCGGAGGAAAATGAAACCAGATGGTTCCATTGATAAGTACAAAGCCAGACTTGTAATTAAGGGTTACAATCAACGTGAGGGCTTTGATTATTTTGATACATATGCCCGTGTATCAAGGATAAATTCCATTAGGATGATACTTGCAATAGCTTCCTTGCGGAATTTAGAAGTACATCAAATGGATGTGAAAACAGCTTTCCTTAATGGAGATCTAGAAGAAGAGATCTACATGGAACAAACAGAAGGGTTTATAGTTCCTGGTCAAGAAAGGAAAGTATGTAAACTCGTTAAGTCATTATATAGTCTTAAACAGGCGCCAAAAGTATGGCATGAGAAGTTTGACCAGGTAATGATGAACTTTGGGTTCAAAATTAATGAATCAGACAAGTGTGTTTATCTAAAAAACACATCCCAAGGGTATGTCATGTTGTGTCTATATGTAGACGACATACTCATAGTTGGTAGCGATGACAAGATGGTCAAGTCTATCAAAGACATGTTAAACTCGCGATTTGACATGAAAGATGTGGGTCTGGCTGAAGTAATTCTTGGAATTAAAATTGTGAGAAGACCTGGGGGTCTAGCACTGAGCCAATCCCATTATATTGATAAAATCCTTGACAAGTTCAACAAGGATGACATTAGAGTAGCAAAGACGCCGTTGGACGTCAATGCACACCTAGCTAAAAACCGAGGTTCCAGTAACTCTCAAATCGAGTATGCAAGAGTTATTGGAAGTTTGATATATCTAATGAGTTGCACTCGACCAGATTTAGCCTGTGCCATAAGTAAGCTGAGTAAATACACTAGCAATCCGAGTGATGAGCACTGGAAGGCTATTGTACGTGTGATGAGATACCTGCGGTATACACGTGACTATGGATTATGCTACTCGAGATATCCACCGGTACTAGAAGGATACTCGGATGCGAATTGGATATCTGATAGTAAAGACTTGAAGTCCACAAGTGGTTATGTCTTTACGCTAGCGGGTGCAGCAATATCTTGGAAATCCTCAAAGCAAACCGTGATTTCTAGGTCCACCATGGAGTCTGAGTTTATATCTCTAGACAAATGTGGAGAGGAAGCTGAATGTCTACGCCACTTCCTAGAGGACATTCCAAGATGGGATAAACCGCTCCCACTAGTTTGCATCTATTGTGATTGTCAATCAACAATAGGACGTGCAAAGAGTAATATGTATAATGGTAAGTCTAGACATATTCGTCGTAGACACAAAACCATTAGACAACTTCTCACAACTGGGATTATCACAATTGACTATGTGAAGTCAAAAGATAATTTGGCGGTCCGCTAACCAAAGGGTTAACAAATGAGTTGCATGAGAAGTTGGTGGCAAGAATGGGTCTGAAGCCCTTGTGCTAGGACAGTCCTATGATGGAAAACCCAACCTGGCTGGTACCCAGGTTCAATGGGACAACCTACTTGTAGGATAAAGCGAGGTCACTGTGGGGGCGGTACCGGAACCTTCGGTCAGTCCCTTCTGTTCCTGCTGAAGACAGTGACTCCCGAAAATGATGAGGTTAGCATATAAATATGCTTTAATGATTCTTAACCAATATACACGGTGGTCTAAGGGGAGTAATCGGGATACTCTTAAAGAATCACCTATGTTAGAGTGAAGTGTGGTCGCTTCAAACGGAGGATCTTGGGCTTAATCCTCTAAACACTCTCGCAAAACCAGGCGCGTGTCCCACGACCAAAATGGGCACAACCATGAGAACAGAACGACATTTGGTTGGAATCTGTGTATTGTATACTTTCGTTTACACAAGCGGCAGTACAGTTCAAAGACATCGCGTTCTACTGAACAGCCAGTAAAGAAGGTATACTTTACAAGGGACATGTTCAAAAGTGGAGACACTTACATGTTCTTTGCAGGTTTTCAACCGTGGGATGTTGTCGACCCCAAAATCAATTTTTATATCATGTAGGGGATTGTTGGAATTTTTGGCATTTTTTAATAGGCATTAAATGAACCAACTAGGGTATATTTGTCAATAGGTCCACTAACGGTTTTAACCGTTAATTAATGGACGTGTTTTCTCTTAAATGAGATAAATGTTTTGACAAATATTACGCCAAAAATGGTAGAGGGTGAATGAGAAATTGATTCTGAGAGTTAACCCGTTAATAAAAGAATATGGTGAGGATTGCAATTTTACTGAACCAATCTTCTTTTATTAATTTTACGTATTGTTTAAAATTAGTCCATTTTTACGGAGTTAACTGGCCATTAATCTCCAATTATTTGGGACAAATTTTAAACGGAGCGTAGCGTAACGGACGTGTTAATGACTAATTAATCACCATTAACACGGTATTAAGTGTGTCACAAATGCCATGATTTAATACTAAGACTTAATGTGTATATGTTACATTTTTTAAGTTGCTTAGTTATAAATCAAGGGGGGACTCTCCATTCTTTGTGCATGGGTGCGTGAGGAAGAAGGAAAAAAAGGGGAAAAACTTTTTGTTTTCTTTTAGAGAGAGTTCTTGACCTTCCGGCCAAATTTTCCGGCCATCCTTTTTAAAGTTCTTGGTCGCCAACGTTCCTACGTGGTTCTTGTTCGTTGGTGTGTGGTTGGTCCGTACAATCTCCACACACGATAGCGGTTTTATCCTGGGAGGAGAGTGCCCACGTTTTTCCGGTACGGTAGGCGAGCACTACTACCTTAAGGACAGCTCCGGCGACTCCGCTGTCCTTCTGTGGTGTTTTCTTTGCAGGACTAGTTCATAAAGACCTCGCTGCATTCTGTCCTAGTGCATAATGTCCTCGCAGCCCAGTGCATAATGTCCTCACAGCCCTGTGCAAAACGTCCTTGAATTGCTGTCCAGTGCTTAAAGACCTCGCTGTCCAGTGCTTAAAGACCTCGTTGTCCAGTGCTTAACGTCCTCGCTGTCCAGTGCTTAATGTCCTCGTACAACAAGGCCGTTTGAAGATATAGAAATTTATTTTCCAACTTTGTTTACTTTGTAATATTCTGAATAAATTATAAATTCAGAATTTTATTTATTTTTTATTTCCGGGGCCGTTCATCTTCCCCGTCCGTTGTAATCCGTACGAGAGTTGTAACAGTTCTGTCTGTTGGATCATCCTGTTAGCCATATATTGATTACTTATTTAGGTGCGACACAGTTTGTTGGACCGACCATTAGTTTCGTATATTAGTTTGGACATAAACACTTCCCTACTCTACCCCTATTTATACACTCTTAGAGGAGGGGGAGGTGAAGAGGAATTCAATACACACACACTCCTTTCTTGTTCTCCAACATGTTACTCTTTCCTTATTCTTCTCTATCCATAGATTTGCAAATATATCACAAATAATTAATGAGAAATTTTTGAGAGTACTCTAAAGAAATTATGGAGTATTGTCAAAACTTTCTCATTAGTTATTTGATTGCTTGTTTCACCGGAAATTTAATTTCTTCATCTTGCAATCTCTTTCATATTTTTACTTTACTTAAAATTAAAAAAAGACATATTTCTATTTTTACTTCTCTAACTTATTCTGAATGTGATGAGTAAAGTAGATTGTGATGGTAGATTAGCAGTGAATATATGTGATGCGATAGATGTGATAAAGTATACTCCCTCCGTCCCTAATTAGATTACAATTTTTTTCTCTCTCCTCTCGATAACTTTTGTTTGTTTACGCGATTTCATTAAGTATTTGATAAAATAAAATATTCTTGTCACTTCTTGTTTTATAGAACTTTTAACGTAGTTTTTTAATATGTAATTTTTATATCTTATTGATATATCAAATTGTAAATAAAATGATTTCAAAAAGTAGGAAATTTTACTCCGTAACCCGCAATTTGTAATCAAATTGGGGACAGAGGGAGTACTAGAGATAAAAGTAACTTTTTAATATAAAATAGAAGGACTTATTGTGATTGAAAAATCTGAAAAGAGAAAAGTATTTTTGGGACAGAGGGATTATGTTTTTTATTATTTCAGATCTCCTCAAAGAAATATTTTAGAGATTGGTTTGAGACTACGGGTTTTTGTCGTATACTTTCCTCGTAGTATTCTTGTCCCCAATTACTATGCTTTTTAAATTTGCCATTGTGTACGCTTTCATGGACAATCCAATTTATTACCTTTTGTCATATTGGTAAAACAATTGATTTATTTTTTAAATGAATAATTTTTATTTTATATTTCTATATCAATTTTTAAAGAAAATCATATTAAAAGTCACATAATTTTTCATGTTGATCAACAAGTGCATTTCATTTGCTAGGGGTACACCAAAGGCGTACCACATTTGTCCCCTATCCTTTTTTTCACCACTCATTTTACTCCATTTTTATTTATTTATTTTTTTAGTTTTTTGCCCATTTTTGTGGTAATGGAGGGAATGCATTATTCTTATTTTTTACTCCAATTTTTTCAGAACGAGTACCTAACAAACCTACCTAAACAATGATTGCGCCATCCACTTTCAAAGACCCATTAATGTTGGATAGACATTGCATCACTACTGCTTCATCTCTTACAAGACACCCACGCACAAAATCTGCACTCTCTCTAAACAGACACATCAATGGAAGGACTGGTGAAGGGTTTGATTAACATAGCATTGGGCAACGACGAAGGGGACGGAGGCGATCGCCGCAGTTCCGACGATCGCGACGACGAACGATCCAGATCCACTTGAGCGCAGGTTAGTGCTCCTCCTCCCCTGTTTCCGATTCTCAATCGCCTCGTTTCCGATGCTCGATTGCGGATTCTATTTTGCGCAGGTGGTGTCAGGGGAGCAGGATGAAGACGAGATCAACGGCGATCGCAGACATGGTTATCGAAGAGAGGTATTCCGTTTTCGTTGTTTAGCATAGCATGCCTGAGTCTTTAGTAAAAGAGGAATTCTAACGGTTTAATGACCTGTTTGGCTGCCATCTTTTTGGACAACTTTGTTTTTTTATAATTTAAAATGAGTAAGGGTCTGTTTGGGAATAACGTTGTAGATTATCCACGGACAGCGTTTAGCGTTAGTGTTTTCAAAATAATCTGCACCGTTAAAATTTTATCCAAAACACTAACGCTAATCTCTAAAGCTAGTCCGAAACAGGCCCAAAATGGTTTGAAACGTTTTGGGATTAGCTGTTTTGATTATTTTAAAATACACTCACTCCCTCCCATGAAGTATGAACCAAACAACCAGTCTCTAGTTCACGTTTTGCAACAAATTAGTGTATTTGATTTCTTATTTTAGAAATAAGTTTATTTTGGCTATAAAAAAGCAATTTTGCTGTACTGTAAATTATAAAAATATAAAATGACATCATAGTACTTCGGTTTTTTTTAAAATAAACCTTCTTTTCATTAAAAAACATCATTATAAAAAAGTAAGGGAAAAAATAAGCAATTTATCTATTCAAATTAGATTTATATTTATGACACAACACTTCTGCTGGCACCAAGTCTGTTAAGCTCTGCCGGGAGAGACTAGAGATTAAGGCATTTGAGCTTGTTTCACGAAATAAAAATAGCGCTGTATTAGAAATTCTTTCAACAACTCCTTTTGACCAAACATGTTTTCAAAAACAAGTGACACAAATTAAAGAACTACCTAAAACATCTGACCCGAACCGCGACTTAAAACAACCAATGCAATATCCAACAACTACCAACTGGTTGGCAAATGTAGCCTAATCATAATTAATTTGGAGATATATGAAGTTTAAAACATTTCATGGCTTTGGATCATCCCTGTTTGCCCATAAATGCAATTAAGCTATAATTTGTGTGTGCATGCGTGCCCCCGTTATTTAAATGCTGATTTGGGATATACTCGGTCCACTTTTAATTTACTGTTTTTTTATCGTCCCTAAATAATCTTTGTGCATCAGGTTAACAAAAGACAGGACAAAAATAGGGGATTGTGTTGGTCAAATTTAAAAAATTGGAAAATGTATATCTTTGATGGATAATGGATTATTCTAGGTATTTACTCATTCGAAAAATGCAGGGTGATTCTGGCCAGCACCGTGAAAGATATGAAGACAGCAGGCAGAAGAATAATGTCAACCCTCATGAAGGATATGAAGAGAGAGTGCAGAATTGTTATGGTCAAATCCATATGAATGAAAAGGTGTTGCATATTTAGAAGTCATATTTGTTATGTGTAGCCGGAAATTGTCTTAAGAAGTCCCAAATGATCTGTGCAGGTTGACCAGGCAAATGGTGAGGGCTGGGAAAATGTTCACAAGAAGACTTCAAAGAGACAACAAAAGGTTGTCTATCATCCTCTCTTTAGGTCACTTATCCTTGACTCAAGTGCTGAAGTGTCTTATATAACTTCACCAATCTATTTTAGTTTTATGTAATATGTTATATGTTTTATTACTCATTAAACTTTAATTCTGAACAGGTACATATGGATCACTGGGACAATTACAAGAAACCTGCTAGTGAGCAAGACTACTCCAATGAGGTTGAGTATGGTGCTGACCTGGATCCCTTGGGAGAAGAGCTTGCCAACCTATCAAAAGCTTGTAACAAACTCTGGGAACTCGATGTAAATCGTTTGGTTCCAGGAAAGGATTACCAGATTGATGTTGGCGAAGGAAAGAAGGTGCACCAAAGGGAGGATATGGCAGATGGAAGCTTGTTTTCCTGGCTTAGTGAAGATGCTCTGCAGAAGCCTACTTTTTCTTGATTTTGTTCTCTTTTAGATAACTACAATCCGCACGAGGGATATAAAGAAGTTGTAACAGCTCAAGAACAGCAAGAGCAGTTGGCATTTGTCGAAGAGATCAGTAGAACTGCCCCTATAAAATATTTACACAAGTATCTGTCTGCAAAAGGTGTGGTTTCTGAAAGTTTTCAGGAGTTCAAGAGAAGGTTGACGAGCCTCTGGTTTGACCTTTATGGCCGAGGTGGTACATCTGGCTCTTCTTCCGCTTTCGAACATGTTTTTGTTGGAGAAATTAAGGAGCGTGGAGGGGGAGAAGTTTCTGGTTTCCATAATTGGCTTCAGGTAAAATTATTATCTACTCCACCGTTCTACTGACTGAGCTAGCAATTTTAATCTTTTTATTTTTCTAATAAATGGTGATCCAACCATTCAAATTAAACCCCTCTTCAACACCTTGATCTCAATTCTCAAAGACTTTCTTTTTGTTCTTTGTAGTTTTATCTGGAAGAAGCAAAGGGCAATGTAGATTATCAAGGATACATTTTTCCTCGAAGACGAGGACAAATTGTAAGTGATGATCTTGTTTCTTTCCCTCTATCTGTACATTTAAAAGGTTCTTAGATTTTTTTCTCTCTCCTTATCGTTTCTCAGCCCGACTCGGAGACTCAGCTCTTGACAGTTCAGTTCGAATGGAACGGCGTACTGAAATCGGTGTCGAGCACTTTGGTGGGAGTGAGCCCAGAGTTTGAACTCGCGCTCTATACTCTGTGTTTCTTTGTGGGAGGGGAAGACAACCACGTTGAGATCGGTCCGTACTTAACATCAAGTGCTATCGCATGGGAGACAAAATTGGGTCTGCTTTCCCAATGGCAGAGTGATGAAAAGTGAGGTAAACAAAAAGACATTCTTTCAGTGTGTAAACATAGTGTGAATGTTTTTTTTATATGAAAAAAACATAGTGTGAATGAAAAACACGACACATTATTTTAGGGTGGAATCCTTCCAGTTTCAGACATGTAATTCAAGATTGTTTTTTTTTAACTTCTTTTTTCTCCTTGTACCCCACCTTTTGTACCCCATTTTGTACACTGCAGGTTTGCACCAACATTTTGTATTGGTGTAAAACTAATTTTTGTTAACGCACCAACACTTTGTGTCCGTGTAAGTTTTTGTTAACGCACCAACATTTGTGTCAGTGTAAACCATCAAAATGTTTGTGTATAACTGCGGTGTACACATGGGGTATAGTTTTTGGTGTAAATGTAGCATGGTCCATACATATTTGACCGTTGTGCCATTCTTTTTAATGATGTGACTATTTCTTCTTTCTATTCTCTGCTTTTCTCTGTGCCGCTTTTCATTCTTGGCTTAAGTTATTAAATGGATATTGGGCAAAAGAAAGAAATTGAAAGGACCGAACAAAGAAAAACTCTCTCCATTCCTTACTTTTCGACTCAATATTTTAATTACAAATGAGGAATTATGAGGTAAAATTTTATAATTTTTGAAATTATTTTATTTATAAATTGATACATCAATAAGAAATAAAAATTACAAATAAAAATAACGTAAAAAGTTTTGCAAAATAAAATGTGACAAAAATATTTTATTTTATCAAATAATCAATGAGAACACAATTAAACAAAAGTTATCGAGAGAAAATAGAAAATATAATTATTATTAAAATCAGGACGTAGAGAGTATCTTTAAAATTTCACAGTCAACTTTTTAAATTTTCATCATTAAATATTAAAAAATGACTACATTATCTAGTTAAATAGAAATTAAATGATATGATCCGCACAAAGAAGAACCTCAATGTGGAGGAATTCATTGAATGGAAACAATATCATGAGAATTATACTCCACCCGTTCCTTAAAACAGTCCCTCTTTTATTTTTTCATTTTCCCAAAAACACCTCCTTTTTTGTAAAAAATGTCTAATATATTTAAATTGAGTTTTTACAATATACTCTATTCAATTTACATTGATATAATAAGTCACTTAAATAATTTGTCTCTCTTTTTTTCTTCGATAATAAGAGTATAATTAGAAGGTTAAAATGTGAAATTAAATCTCTCCCAAGTCAAAACATGAACTGTTTTAAGAAACGAAGGGAGTATATTACAAGATCAATAATACGGAGTATGTATTGGTATAGTAGAAGCTGGTGTTTGAGTTACAAGATGGCTTATTTTTATATATTGAATATATATTAGATTCATAGAATATATGAACCGAATACAAGCGTTCAATATATTGATTATTCATATATGGAACATCATACTAATATTCAGAGAAAACGTATTGATGCATTCTTTATTTTCATATTTTGAATATATATTCGATTCACATATTCATAATTATATCTATAGATCATCAATTCATCATAATGTAAATTTATATGGCTTTCATTACTAGCTCTACATTATGGGCAGTATGGGTCACCCACAGCACATGGGCAATTGATGGAAATAGAACTACATTCAGGATTTATTATAATATCACAGAATGTGCCGCATGCTTCTACTAAGTCCATTGGATCGTCCAAACCATGAAATCGTAATACATTGACTTCGTAGCACAATCCATAACACTTGCAATATATTTTCCGGTCACATTCACTTACCACTCCATGCAACAATATTAATTCGAAAAGTAACATTTTCACTAAAACGGTCATAATTATCTTGTGAGGATTCAACATATGTCTGCTCTCAAAAACAAAATTATGCTTCATTTAGAATGTATCTTTAATGAATCCTCAATTTAAAATTTTCACATATGAAGATAAAAAATGAATAATGCCACTATTTAGTGCTTTCTCTGAAAAAAGATTGATATTTTTGTTTTGGACAAATCAACAAAGAAAGCAAGTGATTTTTTTATTTTTTGAAATGAAGGAAATATTACAATAGATGACTAAGTTTTTATTACCCAGCTTGAATTTTTTTTAAATGTAATATATATGCTTTGCATTATAATCAAAGCTATAATCACGACCTTACCTTATAATCACTAGTGGTTAAAGAATTTATGAGTGTTTGGATAGCAATTCAAAGTTTCCTAATGAAGAATAGATATCTTGAAGTTACCAAATTTACACAAAATTAATCTATGAATCAATATTTTGTTGATATATATATATATATATATATATATATATATATATATATATATATATATATATATATATATATATATATATATCCGACATTTATATTCTTATAACTTAAAAAAATTAATTCTACATTAATATATTACAAATTGATGACCATATACAGTAATAACAGTATAACTCATACTCCGTATAAATTAATAACGTTAGGTCCCAAGTTTTTTTTTGTTTTAAGAAATATTAGATTAAGACTTTGTTTGAGAACAATATTATTCCATCCCTTTCATAAAATAGTTTCTTTTTCGACTTTTAATAGAAATAAGGAAAAATTACCTAAAATAATTCTAACTTTACCCGGTCTTTCAAAAATAATCTCACCTTTTATTGTGATGCATAATAATCCAAACTTTATTGAAATTTGCCAGTTTTGGGTCGCCCTTAAGTTTCTAACGGAGGGTTAACGGAAATGCCGGTTTTAGGCAACAAAATGAAAGTTGGGATTATTTTTGATGAATTTTTGTTTTTTAATTTTTTTTTTAAATTTTTATTTAAATTTTTTGAATTACTTTCAACCTCTATTTTTTTTCTTTTTTAAAGATTATTCTTACCTTAGAAAAAAATAGATATAAAAAACAATGAAAATGAAAAAAATAACTAAAACCATACAAAATTAATCAAATAAATAATGTAATCAATAGAAATTAAATAGAAACTGGTAAGAAATAAAATAAATATATACGGAGTGGTGGATTTTAACATTTTACACACTATACGGAGTCTTAGGGGGGTGTATTCAATCCAAACTCTGCAGGATTTTTTTGGATTTTAAAAGTCAGTGGGTATTCAATCGGGATTTTAAAAAATCATTTAAAATCTAGGTGTATTCAATTCAGATTTTTAAAAGTCATTTAAAATCTGGATGTATTGAATTTGGATTTTAAAAATTCTATCTAAATCTAAAGATATTCAACATTCCATGAATTTGTAAAGATTTGTATTCTACATGGATTTTAATGGATTTGAAGGTAGAAATTTCAATAAAAAGTTTATGAAACAAATCCCTACTCCAAACAAAGGATTTTAAGAATCCAAGTCCGATCCTCTCTTTCGTGGGCATCAAGGTCGTCACTAATGGTGTCCGGCGGCGGATCTGTCGGAGGAGTGACAGCAGTTCGGATCCGGATCCGGTGGCGGATCTGCAGGTTGAGTGGCAGCAGTTGGTGTCTGTCCATGTAATTCGGCATGGTTTCCGTTCTTCTTCTTCTCCACCAACGAGTTTCCGAAGATCTGATTTTTGTCCTTTGCTGAAGAATCCCAGAACCATGGTTGCCGTTCTTCTTCTCCATCAATGGCGGAATAAGTTCCATACTTTTCGCTGGGATTCTCTCCTTTGCACAGGGGTCACTGCTCTTCACTTGCTCATCAGTTGCTCGCGTATATGTCTAGGGTTACTGGTTAGGATTCCGTCTAACAAGGATTAGGCAAATTCTTCAAAGCAGGTCTTGGAAAAAGTCTTGGAGCAGGTCTTGAAATTGGAAATCCGATTGGTCTTTTTGAATGCTCTGCTTTTCTTTTGCTGCAGATCCGATTGGAGGTTTTTACGGAAGTTTCTTACATATTAGTGTCTCTCCTCTTGGCGTGGAGCAATAGGAAATCTACATATTTTTTAAACTCTATATAGATTCTACAAATTTATCTAACTCTACATGGATTCTACAAAAAATCAACTAAACTCTGCATAGATTCTACAAATTTTTCAAATCCACTAACTTTTTGAAATCTAAAAAAATCCTATAAAATCCTAATTGAATACACCCCCCTTAATGTACTAGTACTACTTATTTTTTAAAAGAAGAAGCCGTCCGGTAAAGTTGGAATTATTGTAGATAAGTTTTTTCTAAAAAATAAGAAGTGATATGTTAATACTTTATATAGTGCATAAAATATTAAAACCTACACACATATTCAATATATGTAAAAAGTGCATATATTCAATATATGTAAAAAATAAAAATAAAATTAAAAGTTAAAAAAATTAAATACTAAAAAAATAAAATTTAAGATTTAAAAACTTCAAAAAATGAAATGAGAAAAAAAGCAAAAATCATCAAAAAAATTTATATTTATAATTTATTATGAATTAAATGAAATTAAAATTTAATACTCCATATAGTAAAGAATTAAAGATTTAGAGTATCTCACTTTGGTGTACTTATATCTTTATTGATTTTTTTCCAAATAGAGTAAATGCATTTTTCTTCTAAAAAATACTACTCCAAACTGGTACTGTGAACAGTGTGGGGCACGGTCACTGTGAGTGACCCAAATGGGGGGCACTAGCTGGCCACTTATCTATGAGCTCCTCGCCAAAAATGATGGGGTGACTCTCTGACTCTTCCCCGCCATTGTCATCTCCGGTTAGATTTTTTTTCCCTTTATCTATGAGCTCTGTTTATCAATGCATGCGATTGATCTTTCTTGGGTGTTTCTGTTTTCTTATAAAATACTTGCAATTGGTCCCTTGCTGATAAAAATGAGTTTTTTTTTCTTTTCTTTTTTGGGTTTGAAATTGCATTTTGGTTCAGTTGATGAACTTCAGTTATTGGAATGAGATGAGTGTGTGGGGTTTTTTTTTTGACATTTTCCGTTGGGAGGTTTGCTTTTATGTGTTTAATTGTTTTGGAATTTATTTTTTATTGGGCTGATTTGGGTGTTTTGTTTTGTTACTTGTTTAGGTACAGAAAATGGATTTTAGTAGGAGGATATATACGAGGAGGCAGTGGGGTGACTCTTGCAGGGAATGGAATGAGGAGAAGAAGAGGAAGAAGAAGCAAACCCAGACCAGCAATATTGGTTGTCCTGGAAAAGGTGACAGCTTTCCAATTGTAGTGGCCATTGATGAAGAAGATCAAGAAGATGACAGTCCCGCGGATGAAATTCTTGAGGGAAAACCCGCGGTGAGTGTAGAGGAGGAGGAGAGTGATGACGAATTAAAGAAGAGTAAGAAAAGGAGGAATGGTGTCATTGGAAAGAACAGTAGTTTTCGTGGTCCCGGCTGTGGTGAAGTGTTGTTGAAATCTTCCAAGAATGTGAAAAAGGGGTTGGTTGTGGAAGAGAATATCGGAAATGGTAGTGTTGATTCAGAAAAAGAGGACGAAAATCGCGTTTCTATAGATGAAATGGCGGGGAAAATTGTTGGGGGAAACCCGGTGGCGAGTGTGAAGGAGAAAGACTGTGGGAGCAGTGTTGAAATGTTGATGAAATCTTCGAAGAACGTGAAGGAGGGTATAATGGGAAAGGAGAACATTGGGAATGGCAGTGTTGGTTCAGAAGGTGAAGGCGGTGACGAAGCGCATGATCATGAAATGGAGGAAGAGGGATATGAATCTCGTTGCCATACGTCAAATGAGAAGATTTCCAATAATGGTGGCTGTGATGATGGTGATCATGTTCCATTCTTGGATAACTGTTTAACTTCAAGAGAAATAATGTTGACAAATGGGGTTGATGATGATGATGGGATGGATGAGGGCGATATGGGTAATTCAATGGAGAAGAATGATGAAAAGGTGGAGAAGAAGATGGAATGCTCCAATGGTGATGGTGCTCGTCCAATGGCTGTTGAAGACAATGAAGAAGAAGAAGATGATGTCACTTGGATTGCGAAGGAAGACATTGTAATCAATTCAGATCACCATCAACGGAGGCTTGACAAGCAGATGAAAAAGAGCAAGTGCAATGTAAGGAACAACAATGCCCTCTTCGGCATTGCTTTTCGTCTCAGATCACGTTCGGCCTCCCAGTTTACAATCAAGGGAAACAGCAGGGTTGATTCAGAAAACGAGGAAGAAAATCGCAGTTCTAAAGATAAAATGGTGGGAGAAATTCTTGAAGAAAACCGTGGGGCGAGTGTGAAGGAGAAAGATTGTGAGAGCAATGCTGGTTTTGTTGGTTGCAGTGATATTTTGCTGAAATCTTCGAAGAACGTGAAGAAGGGTATAATGGGGAAGGAGAAAATTGGGAATCGCGATGTTACTTCAGAAGGTGAAGGTGAAGAAGTGTATGATCATAAAATGGAGGAAGAGGGTTATGAGAAGATTCCCAACCATGGTGGCTGTGACGATGGTGGTCGCTTTTCCTTCTTGGATAGTCATATAACTTCAAGAGTAATAATGTTGACAGATAGGGATGATGATGAGGGCAGTAAAACATATAAGTTCAAGAAGAAAATGGAATGCTCCAATGTTTGTCCAATGGATGCCCAAGACGATGAAGATGATGATGTCACTTGGATTGCGAAAGAAGAGTTTGCTATCAAACAAAAGATTGACAAGAAGAAGAAGAAGGGCAAATGCAATATAAGGACTGGGTAAAGCGCACTTAGGCATCGCTTTTCGTCTAAGATCATGTTCGGTCCCCGAGTTCACAATCAAGAAAAAGAAACCAAACAAGAACAAGAACAACGAAAGCCCGATAAGGTCCCACAATGGAAAGAAACACAAAAATGTTAAAAACAGTTCCCCTGCTTCGAAGGAAGAGGAACCAAAGAAGCTTTCATTCTATGAGGCCATCAGAGAGGGAAAACACGCAGAGAATAACAACGGCAAGAAGAGAAAAAGAGTGAAATGTACTCACAGAATGAAGATGTCGAAATGTGGGAAGAAAGATTTCGAGCTCAAGAAAATGATTCTGGACTCACTCTGGGGGGATGCGGGCATCACCAAGAAAAAGATGCCGTTTTCCAAAGATAACGTGAAAGGGCCATTGCCTCTCAAGTTCCGATTTGAGGACGAAGATCCTTCTCCACCAGAGAAAAGCAAATGGGAGAATGAGATCGAGAGCCTCTTCGCGGATCTTCAATCAAGTCTTGAGGAAGTCAAAGAGAGCTTGACCACTGAACCCATGGTAGGTTTCAATCAGAATGCTTTAGCCTTTTCATGCTTGTTGGTTGTAAACTTGTAATCAAGATTTGCATTTTACAGAATACTCATTTAAGCATCAACCAGAACAAGAACCCATGTATAAACAATCCCATCCATTTGTTTTTATTTTAAAAAAAAACTGGTTTTCCTTGTTAAAATGTGCAGGCAGAAGATGATTGCAGCAATTCTGAAGAGAACGAAGACGACCCTCCAGCAGTCTGCTGCAAAAAGGGGAAACACTTCCTGATTTTAGATGAGCAGATTGGGCTGATTTGCAAGCACTGTTCATTCGTGCACAGCGAGAGGAGGTTCATCCTGCCCTCATTTGTAAGCCGTTGGCCTTTCGTGCTTTGCTCTTCTATTGACTTCACTGATAGTGTAAAAAGATATCATTTTTCAATGGCATTGTGCAGGCCATTAAAACTGGTGGGAGACGATACGCGAAATGCTTTGATGGATACGACCATACCTTTGGTTATGGCCTTCCCGCGTCTGGGGCTGCTGGGAGTCCCCATTGTTCTTCAATATATGATGGAGGGTAATAATACATTACAGTCATTTATATAATCTCCCATTTTCTTGGAGTCTACTTGTAATAGTTTATTCATGTCTTGACCCTTCCAAGAATGACTCCTCCGGTATATAAGAGTATAAAACCTTTCTCGAGACTACAACCACAAGCTTCAACTTCTGGTTGAGTGAGTTCTTTACCACATCAACCAAAAGCGCTTTTGCTTGAGTTAGTTCTTTAACGACTCAACCAAAAACTCAAGTTTGTGGTTCTACATATTCAACTAACACACAATTTGTTGAACATGCAACCAGAGGGACAGTGTGGGACGTTCTTCCTCGGCGTAGCAAAGAAACGATGTATCCCCATCAGCGCGAGGGGTTTGAGTTCTTGTGGAGGCTAGGAACATCGCGGGTGACATTCACGTTGAGAATATGAAGAAGCTGGCGCCGGACGGTGGGAAGGGGTGCATCATTTCGCACGCGCCCGGCACGGGGAAGACCCGCCTCACCATAACTTTCCTCTTCTCATTCATGAAGCTCTTCCCCACGTGCCGTCCCCTCATCATAGCCCCCCTCAGCATGCTCCTCACGTGGGAGGTGGAGTTCAAGAAATGGGAGGTCGACATCCCTTTCCAAAACATGAACAACCACGCGTTGTCCGGGAGGGAATTCGCCCACGCCGCGGATGGATTTGCCCTCCCCTACGAGCCCAAGGGGTGGGAGTCGAAGCGCGTGCTCAAGCTCTGCGCGTGGGCGAAAGGGTCCGGAATCTTGGGCATTTCCTACCGGCTCTTCGAGCAGCTCGTGAGGGTGAACGAGAACCGCGAAGACGACCGGGTGAGGAAGATACTCCTCAAGGTCCCAAGCTTGGTGGTGCTCGACGAGGGGCACACCCCGAGGAACGATGGGAGCCTCCTTTGGAATGCACTCTCAAGGCTTGAGACGCTGCGCCGGATCATCCTCTCCGGAACCCCTTTCCAGAACAACTTCGACGAGCTTTACAACACGCTACGCCTTGTGTGCCCGAAGTACGTTCTGAAGAGGAATTCGGGTAAAAAAGTGTGGGAACGCCTCACGACCTCTATCATGGAGGAGGAAAAAAACCCGGACGTGGGGGAGCTCAAGAGCATCATTGCCCCTCTTGTCCATGTCCACAAAGGATCTATACTCTTAGACCGTCTCCCCGGGTTACGGTCCACATTGGTGTACCTAAACCCAACTCCCCTGCAACAGAGGATGTTCCTAGTCACCCCACAGAAAAAGTTCTTTGAAGAGGACAACCTGATGACTAGGATCTCCGCCCACCCTTCCCTTGTCAAGGACGTCCCGGGCTTCTCCGAGTTCAAGCCCGAAATGGAGGCAGTCGAGCTTGACCCGGACGCTGGCCCGAAGACCGAATTCGTGTTCGCGCTCGTCCGGTTAAGCCACTTGAGCTCAGAGAAGGTCATAGTCTTTAGCCAGTACCTTTCCCCCTTGGACCTCCTCAAGAAACAGATGGAGGCAGTTTTGGACTGGGTGGAGGGGAGGGAGGTGCTGTACATGGACGGCGACGTGCAGTGCAAACAGCGCCAGGTGGCGATCAACACGTTCAACGACCCGGGCAGTGAGGCGAAAGTGCTTTTGGCCTCCACAAGGGCCTGCTCTGAGGGGATAAACCTCATAGGGGCATCCAGGGTGGTCTTGATGGACGTGGTTTGGAACCCGTCGGTCAAGAGGCAGGCTTTGAGCAGGGCGTACAGGTTAGGGCAGACGAAGGTCGTGCATGTTTACCACTTGATTTCGTCGACAATGGAGGCCAAGAAGTTCAGCTGGCAGGCCAAGGACTTGCTGTCTGAGCTGGTGTTCTCGGATGGTGGGGTCCGCGGCGGTGGCAGGAGAGGGGAGGGGCTCCGGGGGTCGGAAGATAGGATCTTGGAGGCCATTGTTCGGCACCCGAAGCACGGGAGGATCTTTGATCGGATGGTTCATAATCCTAACGAATCCGATTCTATTGACACATTCGACTTTGTGGAGTAGAGATTTGTTGTTCTCTGCAATTTTGTCTCTTTTTGTATGTGTACAGTGTACTTGGTGTATTGTATCCTGTAACATTTTCTTCTTTGTAATGTTAATTATGTGTACTCATTCAAATAATGCCTTGACTTGTGTCTAAAAGACTCAATGCAAGGAGTACAGTAAGTACACAAGCAATTCTATTTAAACCATAGTTTTCAGAACCGAATCAGTCATCGAACCGGTCAAGGCATTGATTCAGTGATTTACTGGTCGAACCAGTGGTTCAAGTGGTTGAACCAGTGGTTCAAACATTTTTAATATATATATATATATATATATATATATATATAGACACACACATACACACACTTTTCATTGACTTTAAAAAAACTAATACAGAGTATATGAGTAAATAAAATAATATAGTTCCCCTATTTATAAATAAAGAATTGATGTTTGACTAGATTTATAATTTAATTTAATTTACTTGAGTTGTGTCATTAAATAAAAAATAAAATTTACTTATTTAAAAAATTAAAAAATAAAAAGTGATTTGATTTTTAGTTAAAAAACTATATAGTATATTTTAAAAGTTTTGATAGAGAATATTTTTTATTAAAGAATATTAAAGAAAAATAGCATAGAGTACACACAAGCCATTGTGGCGGAGATGGTTTGTGAAGGCTCTTTTCAGCCGTGTGATCGTGTGTTTGAATCCAAGAGGTGTGTTTTTGAAAACCTTCTCAAAAGAATTTGAAACCCGGTTCCGGCGGGTTTTATCCGGTTCCATCCGGTTTTCAGCGGTTCAATGCAGATACGGTCTTGTTGCCCGGACTGGACCGGTTTGGTGTGTCAATTGCACCTCGTAAGCATAATTAACTTTAAAGTCAAAAGTTTTGACTTTATGCTTACGAGGTGCAATTGACGTAGGTGGGGTGATGAGTTTGGGTCGGGACTTGGCGGGGGGTTTACCGGAGGGGTAGGAATCATCAATTTTATGAACGGAGTTCCGTAGGGGGGCAGTGGCTTCCGTGGCCACTGGATGGAACCTGACCGTTCTTTAATAGGAATAACAACCGTTTTAAGAACTGAGAATCGCTGGTCCTAGAAATGAAAACATGTGTGTCCACCGAGAATCGATGGTCTTAGAAATGGAAACGTGCGTGTCCATCCCTAGCTACACGTGGATTTGGTGCACAAGTCGTTTATATTGTGTGCGAGTTGGTTGTAATTTAGATCGAGTGATATTTATTGTTAACAAATGTATAGTTAAGTTTGCATTGGGTTAAGTTCATAGTTTTAAAACCGGACCGGTCGGTTCAGACCGTGAACCGGCAAACTAGTGGTCCAACCGGTCCGGTCCGGCCCATTGGATCGTAACCTGCTTCAAACCGGCCCGAACCGGTTTGAACCGGCCGGTCGGACCAGTCTGCCCATTTTTTTTTTTGCTGATTTTTTCCAAAACATGCTTCCATGAGGGTTTGAACCCAAGACCTCTTAGACATTTGGTTGACTTCCTAACCATCTAAGCAATGGTGCTTTTTGTTACAAGTTCACATAATTTTTAATAATATTTCATAATTACAAAAAAAGATTGTATATAAATTTCCTTTTCAATTTTATAAATATAATATTATATAGCTATGAGTCAAACACAAAATCATTGATATTATTGATACTATTGCAAAATGCAAATTATGCAAAGATTTCATTTTTTAAAATATTAAACAACTTATTTGAAAAAAATAAAATCAACTCTTCATTTAAAATTCTTTTATATTTTTTTAATGTGTAAATTTTATTTTTTAATTTTATAAAATAACTCAAGTATATTAATATAATATTACTTTAATGTTATAAATTACTTTTTTTAAATATTTGTAAATGAGAATGTGTGTGTGTCTATATGTATGTATGTGTGTGTGTCGTAAATATATATACATATACATACACACACAGATATATATATATATATATATATATATATATATGTATATATATATATATATATATATATATATATAATTTTTAAATATGTTTAAACCACCGGTTCGACCAGTTGAACCACTGGTTCGACCAGTAAACCAGTAAATCAGTATCTTTACCGGTTCGGTTCTGAAAACTATGGTTAAGTTCGAGTCAATGTGCTTTAATTTGAGTTAAGTTTTGATACGATTAAGCGAAGAAGATTGTTTGTTTGGATACGAATTACTCGTAGGTCAATATTGATTTGGATAGTTCTTTATTAAAGTTTCAGATCAATTTCGATCTTTTCGAATATAAAAGTAAATTTGTATACCCTCCATGTTTTGTCAATAGTTTCAGCATTTAACTTTATAATTTTAAAAACATAATCTGATGACAAATCCTAAAAAACTAATGACAATAGTTAACTTTAATATTTTTAAATGTATATAAAAGGAACTCCGTAGACCGTATTTAAAATACTAATTGAAAATTATTGTTGTCAAAGGCTAATTGCAAATAAAGTCAAATGCAGCAGCATTGGTCTTCACTCTTCCAGTGTGTGTGTATTGTGTAACCAACTTCATCGTCCTATCCAACGTTAAAACCCGACGCGAGGAACTGGCGGTGACAGCTCCGCCGCCGTCCTTCAGACTTCATTTTCACGCTGCTGTTCCATCTCCGACCAACTCCGTTCGTCATCAACCGTCAGATCTCACTCTATCTTTATAATTTGTATTGGTTGCAATTACTGTTCTACTGTAATTCTGTGATATTTCCCCTTTGCATTCTAGGGTTTTATTTGCTTGCACTAAGAAAATTAGGGAAATTGGTTTGATTTTGACTGTTAATTTTTTTTCCACATCAAAGTAGATATCAAACGGTGATTGTACTGGCATTGGAAATGATTTCTCACCTTTAATTTTTTATTTGAAAATTTTTACTTTTCACTGTGATTGTACTAATTGCCCCCTGATGATAAGCAATTCCTATTTCCCTTTCAAAGAATGTTTAGATTGTACTGTTGGAGTCATATTATTAAACTATTAATTCAACACCTCTTTTTTATCTTCGGTGCACAACAGTAGGCATACTTGAAGTGGAAAACGAAGGGACAAAATGTTAGGTATGTATACGGCAATATTACATGTGTGAAATTTGTGTCTATAAATCAGCATTGTTACCCCGTTGCACGTGTTGTACTATGTAATGGAGGAGTATATTTTTTCAGCGTATAAGTGATATGGGAACTGCCTTGTTCAAAGTAGGTAATGGTGATCAGATTCCTGTAATGTTGTTTTGGGGTGGAGAAATGGTAAGCTATGGAGATCACAAGTCTGTAACTTTTTCAGTGCCCTCAAGAGCTGTGTTTCTTGAGTCGCAGCAGCAGGCATGATGAGCTTATGGCAGAAGTGCACACTGCAATGAACACAAGTGAAGATGACACAAAGCTCACATTGTTTGGAAGGTACCCATCGATGCTTCCGGGCGGGCAAGTTCTATTTGTTTCTGTTCCGCTCACTGACAATAAATCCTGGCTGTGGTTTTTGGAAGCAACATCAGTTTTCCAGCCCGTGCATGTGTATGTCGTTGCTGAAAACATATCAAATGGTTCAAGTGTCCAGGAGAATCAGAGGGTTGTGCAGGGAGGACCTCTTCTTAAGCGTTGTGCTAATGGAGGTGGTTGTTCAAGGTTGGGAGCTAATGACAACACTTTGGATGTTGAAGGTGAAAACAGAGCCAATGCTGTTGACGAAGAAAGAGTGAGGAAGATTCGTAGGGTTTTACCAGTTAATCCGCTTCCCAAGCACAACACCCGCAAGGCCAGTTCTTCACATGATGACGAAGATGCACTCAATGGTGGCAATGCTGCTGCTACAGCCGCTAGAGATGAGCAAAAGAAGAGAAGGTTGGAAGTTATCCTCAGTCAGTTAACTCCTCGAAATTCTATGCGGGTGCTAGAACAAGTGAAAGATGTTAACATTGATAGTGCTGAATGTCTTGCTGCTCTGGCTGAAATAGCATGCAGCAAAGCTGTGATGGATCCTGCTTTCTGTGAGATGTTGGTAGATAATTTCACTCCTCTTTACAAGATGTTGCCGGTGTATTTCAAGGATAATAAGGTGTTCAACTTTACGAGTTGTCTTTTAGATTGTTGTCGTAAGGAACTTCAGAGAGGCAAAGGAGATGTAGCCTTTGCAGTTCACGATGAGTGGAGACGTAAGAAATCAAAGTTGGGCAATGTAGAATTCATTGGGAAACTATACATGAAAAAGCTGGTAGAAGAAGGAATCGTGCATAGTTACAACAACAACAACAACCCAGTTAAATCCCACAAGAGTAGGGTCTGGGGAGGGTGTGTGTACGCAGACCTTGCCCCTACTCGAAAGTAGAGAGGCTGTTTCCAAAGAGACCCCCGGCTCAACGTCGAAAGTTGCATTGCTTGACTAACTGCTACTTCATTAATTAAAGAAGCGCAGACAATTTAGAGATCCATTTTGATTTATTCCATCCATTTTGAAGTGCATAGTTGTATCAAGAAAATACTATGGTAGTATGAAAATCCAGATGAGGCAGATATTGAAGTCCTTTGCAACTTGATGTACCAAGTTGGTGAATCCATGGATAACCCTGAAGTTAACAAGCCAACAGATATGGATATGTATTTTGAAGAGATGTCGAAATTGTCAAAGCACCCAAATTTGTCTTCTAAATTGAAGGATATTTTGGTTGATTTGGCTGATTTGAGAAAGAACAAGTGGCAGCATAAACCTGCATACCCAAGCCACCTAACCCTGAATATCAAAGTGATGGAGTGCGACTCAGAACCGAAATTTACTCTCAAAGTCAAATCGTCTGACACCATCTACAATATAAAGGAAATGATCAAGGCCAAGGAAGGCTTTCTGATGTGCAAACACAGTTGCCCACTACAACTTGCAGAACAACTGCACCATATATCTTCACAACATGCATTAGTTTTCAGGACTCGACGGGAAAAAAGGTTGTCTCAATGAACAAGAAACATTTTTCAGGATTTGACGGGGAAAAAAGTTGTCTCAATGAACAAAGAGAGTAGTAACTAGGATCGGTGCTTGATGATCTCCATGCTCAAATTATAAATTCATGTCGGTTTCGGTTCCTCGATGTTGCCTTATTGTTGCGTTATTCCCATATGTGTTTATTCATATATATGTTCTTTGTATATGTTAATTAACGTGTATCCATTCAAGTGACTTGACTTGTGTTTAAGACATGGACCTCCTGTGCTTATTTAGTTAACATAGGATTTACTTAGTATTTGTGTTTATTTAATCAACACCATAGTTGTGAAAGTTTTATTATTTGTATTAGCTCCTTGTGCACACTGGGCACAGACGGTCTTTTTAAAGATTATATTGAAATTATACGGATTTACTTCCCTCACAATCCTGTTGGGTCGGGATGTGGGGACGCCCGGTGGGCGTTCCACCTTTCAATGCATAACACACATGTTTCTCCTAGAAGTAAAGACTCAATTTTGTCCCAACTACTTCCTCTTAAGCAATAGACTCAAATTCTCAACGATATGAGTGATGTTTGGCGAACACTATAGTTTTTACATTGAAGTTATACTCCGTTTTTTGGACTTCCCATAAGAGATTTTGTGAAGCAAAAAAAAGAAAGTCTAAGCATCTCCAACCATCCTACTTTTGTTTGCTAAAAGCAATAATATAGCAAGTCAACTCATTTTTTTCTTCTCCAATGAGTGTGTTACATTTTAGCAAACTTGCCAAAAAATTAATTTGACTCTCTAAATATAACAAGCTCTCCAAATTATAGAAAGTTAAGAGTTGTAGAATGTATTAGCAAGTCATGGTTGGAGAATGGAACAAAATATCACTTGTAATATCACTATTCATTTGTTAAAATATAAAAATGGCAAGCCAATATAATAAATAAGGTTGGAGATCTAAGAGGCGGCCTAACTCAATAACCATTCAAACCAGCGACCCTTTGACTCTCTTCTTCAAGATTATGCGGAATAAGAATAGACGCGCAGAAAAGGATACTACTCCGTACTACTAATTCACTTTACTTTCCTCGAGCAGAAAACCTTTCTGAACGTCCGGCAGCCGTGAGAGCTCCGTCACCGGCATTCTCCCTTCTCCACTTCCGACCGGCTTCTCGCCACCAACCGTAAGATTTCAATGCATTTTTACAGTAATTTAATTGTAGTATTCCCTCCGTCCCAGAGTATTCGTCCAGTTTTGACTTTTGGAACTGTTCATCTAAGCACTTTGACTCATCAAATTCTCTCAATGTGTAAGCCTAAATATAGTCATGTGTGATCTTGTTTGATTTGTCTTAACATATAGATTATTAATACTTGGTCCGTCCCTGAGTGTTTGTCTACTTTTGACTTTTGGAACTGTTCATCTAAGCACTTTGACTCATCAAATTCTCTCAATGTGTAAGCCTAAAAATAGTCATGTGTGATCTTGTTTGATTCGTCTTAACATATACTTGGTCCGTCCCTGAGTGTTTGTCCACTTTTGACTTTTGGAACTGTTTATCTAAACACTTTGACTCATCAAATTCTCTCAATGTGTAAGCCAAAAAATAGTCATATGTGATCTTGTTTGATTCGTCTTAACATATAGATTATTAATATATAATTTTTATAATTTTTTAATATACAAATTACAAGATAAAATGGATTAAAGAAGTGCATTGGATGGTGTGCAAAAATGAAAGTGGACAAACACTCAAGATTTGTTATTGACCTCACTTCGGATGATGAAAACGAAGACAAATTCAATGTTGGCGATGATGGAAGAGTCTGGAAGATTAGTAGGCTTTGGAAGCACAACCCTAGCAAAGCCAGTTCTTCATATCGGGAAGACGAAGGTGCACTCAATGGTGGTAATGCTCCTACTACAGCTACAGATACCGTTGTCACTACAAATCCTTCTCCCACTGCTCCCCAACCTTAAACTACACCGGTTTTGTACTTCCCCTTGGTGTAAGTGGTTCCTAATAATCCTAAATGATTTAAGTCTAGTTGTAATGTAAAAGTATTATCTTTCTATATTTACTGATTCATTTCAATTACAACATGTAAAGATTCTGTTGCTTGAGAGTTGTCCAGACTTCGCTACGAGGTTTGCAATGAGGATGCAGCAGACTTCCCCGGCACAACCAAGAATCTGCTTATGGAAGGGTGTTGAAAGTAGAAAGAGAATATTGAAAAAGGACGTTGAAAATTCTATGGAAGACATTCAAGTATGTGTGTGTGTGTGTAGAGCTACTGGTTGTTCAAAATGTGGCTGAATAGGTTTTCGAATTGTGTTCGAAACATGGTTGGTCGAACCTTGATTGAAAGATCTGTCCAATGAATTTAAATTTTCTTTTTGTGATTGCAGATTGTGCAGAGCATCCTATGTCCTAACAAGTTTGAGGCTATGTCTGAACTCTGAATGGTTTAGGATGTTCCATCCCATGCAGTCCGCGCCTAACCCAATCCTCGACGCATACGTAGCTTCATTAGGTGATCATCCTATTCACATCCCAGTGTCTAGCAAAAAGAAAGCTCCCAAGAGGCAGAATGCTAAGGCAACAACTCCCAAGAAGAAGCAGAAGTGAAGATAGGACGTGGAGACTCTATTTGGCGATTTTGAACTGAAGTCGTTGAAAATGTTCGAGGAACTATTGAAAAAGCTGACCTGAAAATTGAAGATGTTGGCAAGGAGCAGAACGAAAAAGGTGGACAAACCTTTTTCCAATGTAAGAATGAGGTTAATATAATTTATGTACATTTTGTAGTTTTCCACATGTTCCTTGACATGCTTGGTTTTGGTAAAGCATGTCTCCATCATTCAAAGAAGGAACTGTCCAACAATCCCTGAGTGGTGTACTGGATAATGCCTGAACACAACTACTTGTAACTTGTAAGATAAGGTTCTTCATATGTAGCACCTTTATTTTGTTTTTGTATAAAGGATGTGTGCCAACCTATGGTTGAGTTAGAAGTTGACGGCAGAATAGATCAACTCTTTACTCTTGATTTGGACACAATTTATAAACAAATGCATTTATGATGTGTTGGTAGTTTTTTTTGTTTGATATAGTAGTTGTCTATTTCTATCTATTATGGGTGTGTTGAGATTTGAGGAACTTATCTCAAAGAAAGGTAAGATCAATACCAAACTTAGTGCAGAACACTTCTTAGAACGAACCTTCTTTTATTTTGTCCACTTAAAACCCTTGTTTTTGCATGGAATTTACGTTGATTCATTTCTAAAACTTTAACATTGTAGCTAAGTACAATATTAGAAATGGAAGATATTCAAGGAATGAAACTCGTAATACACTCATGAACCAATCTAATGCCCATCAACTATAAATATAGTTATTAATTATAACTTCCAACCTCGTAGGCTTGAACATAAAAACCTGCTTACCCCCACACCAAAAAGTCAACCCCAATCCCTATTTGTTCCCGACGATTTTTGCAAGATAGTAATAATAATGACAATATTAGTCCCTTAAAAAAATGATAATATTAGTGATAGCAATATGAATAACTTTAATGAGTAGAAATGAAATACTAAATACAATTAGTAAAGATTTTGATATAAATAATACTCCCTCGTCCCTAAAAGATTGTCACAATTTGACTTTTTAGGTGAAAGTATGACACCCTTTGGTCGTAAATTATGAAAAAGATATACTCCGTATTTAGTTATAATGTAAATTTTTTAAAATTAAATTTATTTTAAAATATCAAATTTTTATAATATTTTACTATTTTAAATTATATTTAATTCATAGTCAAAGAATTCTATATTTTGACCAAAAATTTCAAACTTTGATAATCTGTTTAGAGACAAAGAGAATAAATTCACAAATAAATAAATAAATAATAAAAACAAAAATTAATGATTTTTTTCTCCCAAAACCTCTCATTCCTTTCTGTTTCCTTTCATCCTTTCCTTTTCCTCCTGGTCTCTAAACCAAACAGGCCCTAAAGTTAAAAGTCAAAAGCTAACTCTAAAATGAAATGCTTGGTCCGATTCGACCAGCTCACCGAATCCGCACCGTCTGAACGTGCATCGGCGGTGACGGCTCCTCCACGGCGCCACCGGCCTTTGGCCTTCGTTTTTACGGCGCTTCTCAAGCTCCTGCCTACTCCGATCGCCAACAACCGTTAGATTTCACTTTACCTTTAATCGGAGTAATTTATATTGTTAGCTTATAATTTGACTCTGCGGTGATCACTTTACCTTTATACGGAGTAATTTATGTGCTCAGTTTTACATCGCCGGGATCACAATGAACTTCTAGTTTTAATTTATTTCTTATTTAGTCTGGAAAAAACTGCATTTTAGGGTTTATTGGTTTTACACTTTACATGAAATTGAAAACCAGGTTCATTAATTACCTTACAACACCGGGTTGTTGTTTTTTCATTAATTACCCTTTCTTTATGAAAAAAATTAGTAGAAAACTAGGGAAATTGGATTCGTTATCACTGTAAACATTCTTTGATCGAAGTGGATATCTAAATGCCCACTGTGAGTATTAAACTTTTAATTCAACACCGTTTTTGTTAACCTTAGGTGCGCAACGTACTGGAAGTGGAAGGCAAGGGATAGAAGATGGCAGGTATTGTAATAGCAATATTATATTTGTATTAACACATCAAAGTTGTTAGCTTGTCGTGTTGAACTCTGCACCAGCCTGATGAAGGGGTAAATTTACAGCCTTTAACCGGTAGGGTGACTGCGGTTTTTCAATGTAGGTAATGCTAATCAACTTCCGGTGATGTTATATTGGGGTGGAGAAATAGTAAGGCACGGAGATCACAAGTCTGTAGATTGATTATTCAGACCTTCCGAAATCTGTGTGTTTCTTGAGTTGCAGCAGCACGCACGATGAGCTTGTGGCGGTAGTGCACAGTGCAATGAACACAACTGAAGATAGTTAGATAACACAAAGCTCACTTTGTTTGGAAGGCACCCGTCGACGGTTCCAGGAGGACAAGTTGTGTATGTTTCGTTTCCACTCATTAACAAAATTGACAAGGTAGACATAACATTTGAACCAAATTGATCACCTTAAGTCCCAACCCCCCAAGAATATACTGTGAAATCACTTTAGATTTGAGAAATAAATGAAAACATTTGGAAGTCAATCACTTCCATGCAACTGGGCATCACTAACTGGTCTGAATGTCTACTTATCAAACCCTAAACTTTGAATCTGCACAACTGAAAAGGGAAGCATAAAAATGCTTGCCTAGCGGGGCAGTACCTCTACTAGACGTTCCTCTGCGTGAGCGGGGATTTCCCTTCCTGGGACCCGCACCTTTATAAGTGTAGAATACCTGCGATTCAAAGAAATGGTGTCATATATTCTTTCTTCTTTGTACAGAGAATCCTTTCTTTTGAAGCATTGCAAATTTGTGAAAATCAGTATGAACCATAAACACTCACTCTGCACTCGTAAATAGGTGCTCGTGCTCACTAACAAACACAAGCAGGGCCTGGAAGGGAAATAAAATACACCATAAGTTGTTTAGGAAAACTATACCTGCCGTTAGGCTGTTGCAGCTATAAAGAAACGATTTGCTAAATTGGCAAGAATTATTACAGACTATTTATTACTTACCTCGAATGGCATGTTTAGGAGATCATAATATGTACGGACACGATCTAAACTGAGCTTCACTGTCAATCGAGGGAATGGCGGTAAGAGCCTACAAACATGGCATAATAAGAAGAGACCTTTTAGCCAAGAATGAAGCTGAATCAATCATGCCTAGAAACTTAAAAGGTTGGGGACATGAGGGGAGGGGTGTGTGTGCGTGTAAATAGAAAGGCAAAACAGACAATGAGGACCTACTCTAGTGCAATCGAGTTGCAACATATCTGTTGAACCCCAAATAGGTTGATAGATTTTATATCCGTCAAAGCTTAAAAGCCAATGATTTGATTGTCAGTAAATTTGGATACTCCGTAGTACAAAAAAACTACAGTTGAAAAAGAAGTAACAACAATGAATAGATGAAAGCGGAAAGCAGACCTTGATGAAGGCATTTGCCTAGGATTTTCTGAGTTACAATGGGCCCCTAAGGTTTAAGAATGTCTTAAGCTGTATAGCTATCATAATCCATTTGGGGTATTGTCTTGGAGGGTAGACTTTGGAGGGAATAGTTTATATGTTTATAAGTAGAAGATTTCTACAAACAGATAAGCAAATGATTGAAATGTTATACCACTACATATTATATTATTTTTTCAATTTTTATAAACCTCAAATTTATATGAAGAACTCAAGAAATACTAAAATCTCTAAAGCCCTGCCCTCCAAAATTTTATATCCAAGGTCTTCTTATCCCCATAAAACTTAACTGCTGCTGCTGGAGCACTAGAGAAATTTGACATTTACCAATGATGTCAATGAGATTACATAATCCTCTGAGTCTTGGTCATCCTGGTATTCCTTAATCGTCATTTCCTGCTCAAATGTACATATTTTATTGCAATGCAAATAGCCAAATATTATGCACTCTGTCACACAATTAATGCTCTACTTGCCTGTTTCAACAATCACAAATTTAAGTTTCATTTTCTCTTCGGGAAGGAACATGCGGTTCATATTATTTTTCCATCCGCATAAATTTCAACCAAACAATTTTCACTTTATTAATTACCGTGGCCAATCAGAGTGCCATAAATCTGGGAGTGTGGGACGAAGGGCTAGGTTGCACGGGTTCGCCTGTTTGGTGCCGCCTCCCGCTCCGGAATCGACGCGGGGACGGATTCGCCGGCGGGGACGGGGAGTGGCGAACCGGAAACGCATCTACAGGTTCGGAATCGTCAGCGTATCCAATACCAACGGATCCAGAAATTCTGAGACGAATCCGGGTCGAATCCAAAATTAGTAGTATTTTTTTTTTAAAGATTTCACCAAATTTGATTAGGATTAGGAAAGTACTCCCTCCGTCCCATATCTTTCTTCTCACTTTCCTTTTTAGGTCGTCCCACTTGATTCTTCCTGTTTCTTTTTTTGGAAAATAATTTTATCCTAAAAGACTAATTTACCCTCTTTTCTTTTTTTAGCCTTGTTTTTGAAGTCAGCCCCTATTCCCCTAACCTCTCGTCAGGTCCCCTTCCACTCTTTGTCTTCAAATTTTCTTTCTCTTCTTTCATATACACTTTCTCTTCTTCATCTTCGTACATACAAACCCCTCCCCCAGTCCTGTTCTAAAGAGCTTATTGTTACTCACTGTTTGAGATAATCGACAATTTCCAAATTCTCGAGGATCATGAACTATAATGAGATCTTCATTCCCCTTCCAAGAAGATGTCAAACAGTCTGCAAAAATCATAATGGTTCTACTAAATAACAGAGCATGAAGTCGATTTGACTCAAAAAGAAATCATAAACATCAGTTTGCTGTTGTACTCCATTCACCTGGACAAATACAAAAGAAAGGCAGATAAATTAGTGACTACACTAAGCAAAGAAATCTACAAGTGTGTGATTCTGCAGACAGAACGGGTGAGATAAAAATCACAAATTATAAATCGGACAATACAGCAGGCTACAAGAGAACTATCATTTCCCAAATATTAATTTTCTTGATCCCAATCCAGCATGAAACTACACTTATTTAGGGAAAAGATAACTCATGTCATTATCGACAAGAGTTCTAACCTGGACCAAAGAATTGCAATAAGCAAACCTTTTAACAAGAAAACTCTTCCATTATAGTGGCTATTTAGGAACACGGGTCTTTAGCAGTCTTTTGCTGCACTTTGACTTTGCTCTTCAATGCTGCAGTTTTGTGACTTTTGTCTTTGTTTATAGCATCCTTTGTTTTTAATTTATGCACACAACAATATCTTGTGCTGCACTTTGACTTTGCACTTCAAAACTTTCATCTCCTACCCACCCTACAGTCAATATCTACATGTGTGTTGTACATTCTTACAATTTATATGCCCCTTCAAGGTCATCTAGATCTTAATCTTAACTACAATGTGTTCATGAATCAACTATGGAAAAGACTCTGGCCAAATGTATTTCATTTTGAATTGTAAAATCTTGATGTCTAGGTTTTGAGAATTTTCAGCTCGCAAAGCACAACCATGAAATTAGATGCTAGTAAACCACAATAACTCAAAAGAATATGTAAATTTAAGCAAATACACAAATAGAGATTAAAAACAAGCATAGCACGCACCTCAAAGTGCGATCCAAACGGGATGCCAAGGTTCTGGTGTACAGCTTCGAACATCTGGAATAGGGAAATAATGAAATAAGTGAAAAACAAAATAAGTGTAGAATTGTATTATCGGAAACACACAACATTATTGAGTGTTCATGAAAAGATTATGATAAGAGAAACTACCAGGGTTTTTTAATGTCATGAGAGAACATGTTAAGTGACTGTTGAAATACCTGTTCATAACCTTCATATTCAGAATTCAGTTTGACTTTTTTTATTCAAATTGAAAAGGAAAAATGGGGATCAGAGGATTTCCTCAAAAGGGTAGGCTACACCCAAACCCATGGTTACATTTGGATCCCTCTCGCTCTGTAATATATACCTCGTACGTCAGGTACGTGCGCGCAGAGTATATACATATAAGTAAAGCAAAACCTAGTTCATCACTCGAACTATGGCCACAATAATGTTTGGACAAATTAAATCAAAACAATGCTAACACTTAACTCTAAAATAACTGTTGATATTCTTAAAGAGGCTGTTGTTTTTGTTGTTATTATTATTATTATTTATTATCAAATATTATTTACATCTTAGCTTTCTTCTAGCACATATTATGTTTAGACCGACCATGGTGTCCATAACCATATAATGCCTCATTTGATCATACTCCTTTCTCTTTAAGCATCAAACTTTTCATCATCAAGAATTCTCACTTCTTCTCACCACGTGGTCCACAAACTTTTTAATTACAATAGTCATAGCCAAGGTAGGAATTTGGTTCATCATCGAGAATTCTCATATCTACTGTAACCCAAACTCCTTTGCCCTAAATTTGGAGTGTGAAATTTAAAACTTAATCCACACGAGAAAATATAATACATATCTAATTTTAGACATTCGATGCTCAACCATGGTGCATACCTGGGTATTCACTTGGCAAACCTCAGAAAGTTTTAACTTTGGGCAGTGCTTTTAGAGCATCTTTATATGCCTTCAGGCCAATGAACCTCTTGAAAAGGTCTATGCTGTCATCTCGCCTATTAAAGTGTTATTATAAGTATTACATTCAAATGAATGTGATTTCTACTATTTATTCTTAACATAAGAGTATGTTCATACCATTTCTTAAGGGATTCAAATGTTGTATGAGCAGTGTCCACTTCAAACATTTCATCAAATCGAGAAGACAGAGAAACACCTGTTAGAAATCCACATCAACTTATTGTCGGTTAATTCAATAATTCTTTTTCTATGTATATAAACTTTGCTAAATAATATACTACCATTAAAGGCAGTAAAATTAACCCTTTTTACAATAATTATTTGGAAATGCCTAGTTTCTAAGAGGGACATGATTTCCTTCCCTTGGTTTGTTGCAAACTCTTCCCACAGTGTAAGCAGCATAAGCTTCATTCTATTCAAGCAATCATTCAAAATGTTATTTCTGTGTATCTTTAAATATTTTTTCATGCGGATTACTTACTCATTAACAATGGTGAAATCATGTGCTATTTTTTCCTGTGAATCCAACTGAGATGTACACTCTCGGTATTTTTCTATGACAACAGCCATGAAATTTGTATACAAAAGTACAGATCTGATGCAAAGTGGTAGTAAACAACTGTATATCTATATAAGAAAGGAGAAATTAAATGACTTACTTATGGGGGTTTTACTTGCACTAATGCCGTAAAACTCATTAAATGGTGTCAGCATCTCTTTTACCTCATCTGGTATTTTAATCTGTTCAAAATCTGGAACTGGGTCAATATATGTCTGTCTACTAATCATCCAGATGTATTTATAGTGGGGAGATGGTGATGGGACATTGCATTTAGTCGGCATCATAGCAGCATTTGTTATTATATATATTTTATGGATATCCAATACTCAATTAACTTGATCAATGTCTCCACTATTCACCATAGTGAGAACCTTCATGCCCTATTATTTTAAAATAAATACATAAAATTAACATAATCAAAAGCCTGGTTTTGTAATATTCTATGTTTAGTTCATTTATGATATAAAAACACTTACTTAATGATCTTGCAATACATAAGGTCTATACTTATTTGGACTGGACCTCGAGTCTCTAATGTTCCGCTTCTCAACAACTCTAACTCTGCATGTCCATTCACCTTTGTTATCTTTAATATGGCTAATCATTTGCACTGTTGTCATCCCTGTAATTTTATTTTAAAATAAACGGTATATTAACACAAGAAGACATTGTTTGATAAAATTCATTTATTCAAATTCAGTAAAACAAATCACTCATTTGTAGTCAACACCACATGGGACCGAACTGCTTTGGATTGGAACCATATTATTTTAAAAAAGTGTATTAAACACCTCATTTTTAGTAAAAAAACACTCTTCGTCATGTCAGACCGTGATGAGAGTCATGCTTTGTTCACTAAAAAAACTGAGTGCGAAGTCCGATCCCGCTCACTTAACTTTGTATTTGAATTTTAATTAATACTCCCTCCGTCCAAAATTAAAGTTCCCGGTTTGACCGAGCACGCATATTAAGAAAAAGTGTAAATGTAGTTGACTTTCCCAAAATGCCCTCCAACCCCTCACTAATTCGTTGGTCCCTCACACTTCCCCTACTGCGCAGAAAATACGCCCAAGCAACAGGAGAGGATGAGACGGCTGCCTGGCTGCTCCAGCGATACCTCTCGTCGTCTCATCGTTGCTCTACGGTGTGACCTTCGCCGGCAGCCTTGCTGTTCCACCTTCACCTCCACCAACTTCTTCAATTTCAAAAAGAAGAAAGAAGAAACTTGGGGTCCCTAACTTGGAGTCATCAGATCTGTAGAGATATGGTACCTCTTCATCAAATCTGTGAATAATTAAAGCTGACGTTGCAGGGTGGAGGAAGAAGAAAAGAAAGAAAGAGAGATAAAAAGAAGAAGAATAAAAGATTGAAGAAGAAGAGGATGGGGGACGGGAGAGGAAAGAAAATAGAGAAAAGAAAAAACGAAAGAGGAGGAAGAGTGGGGAAAGAATAAAGAAGAAGAAAAGGGAAAAAGCAGAATCGGAAGTAAGAGAAAGAAGAAAAGAAAGAGAAGAAAAAAAAGAAGAAGAGTGGGGGTGGTTGCTGCCCTGGACTCGGAGAAAGGAGAAAAGAAAAAGGAGTAGGGAGGGTAGTAAAGACCTTTTACCATAAAAAAGTTTCTAAAAAAGGAAATGGAAAGTTTATTTGTGGACGGACGAAAAAGGAAAGAGGGAACTTTAATTGTGGACGGAGGGAGTATAATTTTAATGAATAAACATTTATAAATTTGTCTGATCCCTACAAGCAATGATTTTAAAACCGGACCGGACCTGTCGGTCAGATCGCGAACCGGTAAGCTTCCCGGTCCGGTCCAATGTCAAAACCCAGATCTCTATTGACCCGCTGGAAACCGGAAAACCCGGAAAAACCGCCGACCCGGGTCAACCCGTCCTACCCGCGGGTTTATAATATTTACGCTTTTTTTTTTTGTTTTCAAAACTCAAAAGCAGATCTGTCTCTTCACGATCTTCTTCCCTGTTCTCAGACTCTCTCTTCCGCGGCGAACTAGTGAGCTTCTCACAATTTTAGGTGGGTAGGTTTTTATATTTTTTCCTGTCAATTTTAGGTTTAAAGTTTTTAGGTAAAGCTTCAACCACTATTTATCATTTACATTAAAAAATTTTAAGTTTTTAAGGCCAATTTGTATTTCGTTTTTTACATGAATTGCTTGTAATGTTTAAGTAAATTTTGCTGCAAATCTTTAGGTCTCTTTTAGGTTTGTTTTGGTTCTCTTTAGGTCTGATTTTGGTGTAAATGTTTTGTTGCAAATTACTCCGTACATGTTTAGGTTTTGTTTAGGACTTTAGGTTCGAATTAAGTTCCTTCTGTAAATTTGAGGTTCTGCAAATTAAATGATTGTTTATGTTTTGTTCTGCCAATGTTAATGTTTAGGTTTTGTTTAGGTTCTGCAAATGTTTAGGTTCTGTTTTTAAACTTTTACTAATGTTGTAATATGCCATAAAGTATTTTAATTTTAATTGTAGTTTATGCCTACAAGATAGAACAAAACAAATTTTCAAAGCAATAAATATTTAGAACTGGATCAGCTCTATGCAAAAAACATGTAAAATAGAAGTTCAAGGTATTGTATGCTCTATATCTTCACACCTAAAAGATGAGTTCCACAATTGCCTATGGTAATTGTTATCTGAGACTCTAGGAATATACATAAACAATTCTATAATATGCAGTTTGCTACTCTAATTCAATCTGACAAAATTTGATCGCCCTATTCTTGTGGATTTCATACATATGGATAATTATTGGAACTATAAATTCATATAATTTTAAAAATTATACTAATATTGACTTCCATGACATAATAAAATACTTTTAAACACAATCAATTTTTTTAAAAATTAATTTAAAGAAAAGCTGCCTACTAAAGAACATGATTGTTAAGCCCTAATGGCATGATAAAGCTTATTTAAATTCAGGAAGAACAAAAAAATGGTATTCAAACATTTCACAACCTCGAAGGAGATGTGCTAAGTTAGTGCGTCAACCCAATGTGTATGAAAGTTATTTGCTTCCCTTATAAAACCATAATAAAAAGCACATTTGAAAAATAAAAGATGAATAAAACCTATGCACGATAGTCAATACTTCCTCGTATGACACTACATTTGTTAACCTTTCATGGAATGAGTTTTATGGGTATCTCACCGCTGTGGTTCACGGATTCAGTTTTATTAATCTGTCTAAAAACTATTTTAAACTGCCTCCAAAATGTGAAAAATCAAAGGGGTGGGAGTGAATGTGGTTCGTTCTACAAGGCGAGGGGGCTGGTGTTTGATTCTGGGCAGCCAAATGCCACCCAACCTCCTCCTCCTCTTCCTCCAAGACACAATAAGAGCCACAGAAAAACAAATTTGAGATTAAGGTGGTGATGGAAATATTAAATCACACTCTCTAACCCCCTACCTTGGTTGGTTCCCTTGAAATTGGGAATCAATGTCATGGGATGACCCGAAGGTGTTCGGGTTCCCCGCTCATAGAATTGATGGTTCCTGCCCCCTAACCCCCCGATAAACCCTCTTGATCGCCCCGACCCGAACACACACACCCCACTTATTTAGGGAAAAGATAACTCATGTCATTATCGACAAGAGTTCTAACCTGGACTAAAGAATTGCAATAAGCAAACCTTTTAACAAGAAAACTCTTCCATTATAGTGGCTATCTAGGAACACGGGTCTTTAGCAGTCTTTTTCTGCATATTGACTTTCCTCTTCAATGCTGCAGTTTTGTGACTTTTGTCTTTGTTTATAGCATCCTTTGTTTTTAATTTATGCACACAACAATATCTTGTGCTGCACTTTGACTTTGCACTTCAAAACTTTCATCTCCTACCCACCCTACAGTCAATATCTACATGTGTGTTGTACATTCTTACAAGTTATATGTCCCTTCAAGGTCATCTAGATCTTAATCTTAACTACAATGTGTCCATGAATCAACTATGGAAAAGACTCTGGCCAAATGTATTTCATTTTGAATTGTAAAATCTTGATGTCTAGGTTTTGAGAATTTTCAGCTCGCAAAGCACAACCATGAAAGTTAGATGCTAGTAAACCACAATAACTCAAAAGAATATGTAAATTTAAGCAAATACACAAATAGAGATTAAAAACAAGCATAGCACGCACCTCAAAGTACGATCCAAACGGGATTCCAAGGTTCTGGTGTACAGCTTCGAACATCTGGAATAGGGAAATAATGAAATAAGTGAAAAATAAAATAAGTGTAGAATTGTATTATCGGAAACACACAACATTATTGAGTGTTCATGAAAAGATTATGATAAGAGAAACTACCAGGGTTTTTTAATGTCATGAGAGAACATGTTAAGTGACTGTTGAAATACCTGTTCATAACCTTAAAATTCAGAATTCAGTTTGACTTTTTTAATTCAAATTGAAAAGGAAAAATGGGGATCAGAGGATTTCCTCAAAAGGGTAGGCTACGCCCAAACCCATGGTTACATTTGGATCCCTCTCGCTCTGTAATATATACCTCGTACGTCAGGTACGTGCGCGCTGAGTATATACATAAGTAAAGCAAAACCTAGTTCATCACTCGAACTATGGCCGCAATAATGTTTGGTTAAATTAAATCAAAACAATGCTAACACTTAACTCTAAAATAACTGTTGATATTCTTAAAGAGGTTAGTGTTTTTGTTTTTGTTATTATTATGATTTATCATCAAATATTATTTACATCTTAGCTTTCTTCTAGCACATATTATGTTTAGACCGACCATGGTGTCCATAACCATTTAATGCCTCATGTGATCATACTCCTTTCTCTTTAAGCATCAAACTTTTCATCATCGAGAATTCTCACTTCTTCTCACCACGTGGTCCACAAACTTTTTAATTACAATAGTCATAGCCAATGTAGGAATTTGGTTCATCATCGAGAATTCTCATATCTACTGTAACCCAAACTCCTTTGCCCTAAATTTGGAGTGTGAAATTCAAAACATAATCCACACGAGAAAATATAATACATATCTAATTTCAGTCATTCAATGCTCAACCATGGTGCATACCTGGGTATTCACTTGGCAAACCTCAGAAAGTTTTAACTTTGGGCAGTGCATTTAGAGCATCTTTATATGCCTTCAGGCCAATGAACCTCTTGAAAAGGTCTATGCTGTCATCTCGCCTATTAAAGTGTTATTATAAGTATTACATTCAAATGAATGTGATTTCTACTATTTATTCTTAACATAAAAATATGTTCATACCATTTCTTAAGGGATTCAAATGTTGTATGAGCAGTGTCCACTTCAAACATTTCATCAAATCGAGAAGACAGAGAAACACCTGTTAGAAATCCACATCAACTTATTGTTGGTTAATTCAATAATTCTTTTTCTATGTATATAAACTTTGCTAAATAATATATTACCATTAAAGGCAGTAAAATTAACCCTTTTTACAATAATTATTTGGAAATGCCTAGTTTCTAAGAGGGACATGATTTCCTTCCCTTGGTTTGTTGCAAACTCTTCCCACAGTGTAAGCAGCATAAGCTTCATTCTATTCAAGCAATCATTCGAAATGTTATTTCTGTGTATCTTTAAATATTTTTTCATGCGGATTACTTACTCCTCATTAAAAATGGTGAAATCATGTGCTATTTTTTCATGTGAATCCAACTGAGATGTATTCTCTCGGTATTTTTCTAAGACAACGGCCATGAAATTTGTATACAAAAGTACAGATCTGATGCAAAGTGGTAGTAAACAACTGTATATCTATATAAGAAAAGAGAAATTAAATGAATTACTTATGGGGTTTTACTTCCACTAATGCCGTAAAACTCATTAAATGGTGGCAGCATCTCTTTTACCTCATCTGGTATTTTAATCTGTTCAAAATCTGGATCTGGGTCAATATATGTCTGTCTCCTAATCATCCAGATGTATTTATAGTGGGGAGATGGTGATGGGACATTGCATTTAGTCAGCATCATAGCAGCATTTGTTATTTTATATATTTTATGGATATCCAATACTCGATTAACTTGATCAATGTCTCCACTATTCACCATAGTGAGAACCTTCGTGCCCTATTATTTTAAAATAAATACATCAAATTAACATAATCAAAAGCCTGCTTTTGTAATATTCTATGTTTAGTTCATTTATGATATAAAAACACTTACTTCATGATCTTGCAATACATAAGGTCTATACTTATTTGGACTGGACCTCGAGTCTCTAATGTTCCGCTTCTCAACAACTCTAACTTTGCATGTCCATTCACCTTTCTTATCTTTAATATGGCTAATCATTTGCACTGTTGTCATCCCTGTAATTTTATTTTTAAAATAAACGGTATATTAACTCAAGAAGACATTGTTTGATAAAATTCATTTATTCAAATTCAGTAAAACAAATCCCTCATTTGTAGTCAACACCACATGGGACCGAACTGCTTTGGACTGGAACCATATTATTTTAAAAAAGGGTATTAAACACATCATTTTTAGTAAACAATTCTATAATATGCAGTTTGCTACTCTAATTCACTCTGACAAAATTTGATCGCCCTATTCTTGTGGATTTTGTAAAAATAATAAAGAATGCTTTATTGATTGAATGATAGAAGAGGAATACAAAGTATGTATTTATAGGTGGAGGAATATATTCTAGAATCCTCCACATTAATGGCTAATTATATAAGGTAATATTATATAATAATAACTCTAACTATAATAGGTAACAACCATAATTATAATATATAATATTAAACATATTAAATAATTGATATATTTAACATGCTCCCAACGTCCTAAACGGTGAAGATTGAACGCCAACTTTACTTGAATCGTAACCAGAATTGTAATCAGAAGCTAGAGGCATATCTTTGGCTAGAGTAGACTGAATGCATCCGGCCTGAAAGAGAAGAAGAAAGATTGCCGGGAAAGAGAAGTGAAGGCGCTGATGAAGAGAGGAGAAAAGCCGCTGCGAACAGACTCATGTTGCTGACGTCGAAAGAGGGAGAAGGTTGACGCACGCTGGAGTCGTGCGCGACTGGTTAGAGAAGAAACATAAGGAATGAGGTACTGCCGGAGATGCATGTTGACCGAAGATCTACCCACTAATTGTGCCTCATGTTACTCTCAAGTGAACAGTTGCAATCTTGGCGCCATGAGAGGTGTAGGAATTGATTTAGACCTCTTCTTTTTTTAAAGTCGTCGGACAACAAAAGAAACTAGAAAACTTTATAGTTTCAGGAGATGGTGAAGAATTTGGGTCAAAGGAAAACAGTGATCCGGCGGGCGGCGGTTAATGGCGGTGCCGCCCGCCAGAAGCGAAAGCGGAGAAATTTAGGTCATCAAGAACGGTGGCTCTGATACCATGTAAAAATAATAAAGAATGCTTTATTGATTAAATGATAGAACAGGAATACAAAGTATGTATTTATAGGTGGAGGAATATATTCTAGAATCCTCCACATTAATGGCTAATTATATAAGGTAATATTATATAATAATAACTCTAACTATAATAGGTAACAACCATAATTATAATATATAATATTAAACATATTAAATAATTGATATATTTAACAAATTTCATACATATGGATAATTATTGGAACTATAAATTCATATAATTTTAAAAATTATACTAATATTGACTTCCATGACATAATAAAATACTTTTAAACACAATCAATTTTTTTTAAAAATTAATTTAAAGAAAAGTTGCCTACTAAAGAACATGATTGTTAAGCCCTAATGGCATGATAAAGCTTATTTAAATTCAGGAAGAACAAAAAATGGTAATCAAACATTTCACATACCTCGAAGGAGATGTGCTAAGTTAGTGCGTAAACCCAATGTGTATGAAAGTTATTTGCTTCCCTTATGAAAACCATAATAAAAAGCACATTTGAAAAATAAAAGATGAATAAAACCTATGCACAATAGTCAATACTTCCGCGTATGACACTACATTTGTTAACCTTTCATGGAATGAGTTTTATGGGTATCTCACTGCTGTGGTTCAGGGATTCAGTTTATTAATCTGTCTAAAAACTATTTTAAACTGCCTCCAAAATGTGAAAAATCAAAGGGGTGGGAGTGAATGTGGTTCGTTCTACAAGGCGAGGGGGCTGGTGTTTGATTCTGGGCAACCAAATGCCACCCAATCTCCTCCTCCTCTTCCTCCAAGACACAATAAGAGCCACAGAAAAACAAAGTTGAGATTAAGGTGGTGATGGAAATATTAAATCACACTCTTTAACCCCCTACCTTGGTTGGTTCTCTTGACATTGGGAATCAATGTCATGGGATGACCCGAAGGAGTTCGGGTTCCCCGCTCATATAATTGATGGTTTCTGCCCCCTAACCCCCCGATAAACCCTCTCGATCCCCTCGACCCGAACACACACACCCCACCCCCTTCAATTGCACCCCCAAGTTAATTTTGACTTTGAAGGGGATGGGTGGAGGGGGGTTTACCAAGGGTAGGTATCGTCAATTTTACGAACGGGACACTGGAGCACCTCCGGGTCATCCCATGACATTGATTCCCAATGTCCTGGGAACCGGCCCCTTATATGTGTTGGTGATGTGTAGTCATCGGCCCAAAGTGGCCCACTTGTAGACAACTGAGAATTAGGAGACCAGATTAGGGTTTCGGCCGGCCCAAATGGTTTTAAGCCCAGTTTGCTATAACTTGTCAGCAAGAGTTAAACCCTAATTAGTTGTCTATATATATGATCTCCTGTACTTGTAATCATCATCACTCAATAATACAAACCCTAGTTGCCCCTGTGGATGTAGGTCAGATTAGACCGAACCACATTAAATCTCGTGTTCTTTCTTGCTTTCTATTCGTGTGTGTGTGTACTTTTGTTCTTAACAACTGGTATCAAAACATAGGTCACACACACAGATCTGCCTCCACTGCCAACCCTAGCGACTCTAGGGTTTCTGCCGACACATCAGAAGACCACCGAGATAGTCATCTGTTGGCAGTCCGAACAACCTTGCTGTTCAGTTTGCTGCTGCAATTTTCGAGGTCAGTTCTGGTTGTTTGTTTCAATCTGTTCTCACGTGTTCTCTGGTCAGATTTTGGTTACTCAGAAGAGATGATGTCTGAGGACGGAAAGATCAGGATAGAGAAGTTTGATGGGCAAGATTTTGGATGGTGGAAGATGCAAGTCGAGGACTTGCTATGTCAAAAAGATCTTCTTCCATGTTTGACAGGTCAGAAACCCACGAAGATGAAGGATGAAGAATGGGCTGACTTGGATAGAAAAGCCCTAGCCGTCATCAAGTGCACTTTGACAAAGAGTGTGGCTTTCAACATCGTGAAAGAGACCACTGCTCGTGGGGTTATGACAACGTTGTCAAACATGTATGAGAAACCTTCCGCGTCTAATAAGGTATTCTTGATTAGACAGTTAGTTAACACTCGTATGCGGGAAGGTGGTTCTGTTACTACTCATATCAATGTTTTCAATACCATTATATCTCGTTTGCTATCAGTAGATATCAAATTTGATGATGAGGTACAAGCTTTGCTTCTTTTTTCTTCTTTACCGGATAGTTGGTCAGGATCAGTCACGGCTATAAGTGGTTCAGCTGGAAACACCACACTCACGTTTGAGGGAATCCGTGATTTTATCTTAGGAGAAGACATCAGGAGAAAGAATACAGGTGAACCATCAAGTTCTCTGCTGTGCACTGAGGGAAGAGGTAGAAAGAAAGAGAGGAGAAACAGTTACAGGGGAAGATCTAAGTCCAAAGGCAGGAGAGGGAGTTCAAAGACAAGAAGCGACATCAAGTGCTGGAATTGTGATGAGTACGGACACTTGAAAAATCAGTGCACCAAACCACCTAGCGACAAGAAAGAGGTGAATGCTGCCACAACCTCAGATTCTGACGATGTACTAATCTGCTGTGTAGAGGACACAGTCGAGTCCTGGATTATGGACTCAGGTGCGTCGTTTCATGCTATCTCTAGTTCGAGAAAGATGAAGAATCTCAGACAAGGCAACTTTGGTACTATAAGTCTTGCTAATAATCAAACACTGGATATTACTGGGGTGGGAGATATTGACTTAAAAACCAACTTGGGAACAATTTGGACATTGAAAGATGTCAGGGTAATTCCCAAATTGAGAAAGATGTTGATTAGGTAAGTAGCAGTGTTAACTGCGTCTGCCCAAAACATCTTTGGGAGCCCTGCATTTATTCTCATACTTCTCGCTCTCTCATTTAGAGTTCTATTCATCCTTTCTGCGATTCCATTTTGTTGAGGAGTGCGTGGAACAGTCTTTATCATCCGAATGCCTCGTTCAGCACAATAGTCCATGAACTCTGTGCTAATGTACTCCCCTCCATTGTCCGATTTCAAACATTTCACCTTCAAACCAGTTTCAAGTTCAACGGCAGTTTTCCATTTCTTAAAAACATCAAATACTTCGTATTTATTTTTAAGAAAATAAACCCATACCTTGCGTGTGGCATTGTCTATGAAGGTCACATAGAATCTCGAGCCTCCCAGGGATTCAACTCGCGTTGGACCAAAAACATCTGAATGAATAAGCTCTAACTTCTGAGCTTTAAGTACTCTCCCCGTCTTCACAAAAGATACCCTCTTTTTCTTTCCATAAACACACGGTTCACAGAATTCAGATTCAACTTTCTTTAGGTCTGGAAGGTTTCCTTTGGCGACAAGCATTTTCATCCCCTTTTCACTCAAATGGCCGAGTCGTTGATGCCACAATTTGGAGAGACTCAGCCCATTAGTTACTGTGTTTGCATCTCCTGTAGTTGTCTCAGCCATGTACAAAGTACCCTGTTTCTTTCCCTTAGCAATTACCATACTTCCCTTGACAACCTTCCACTGTCCAGCCCCGAAGTGAACATTATACTGGTTTTATTGCGGGCCCCTACATTGATTTATATGAACAGGGCATGCCTAAGTTAGTCAGGAATTGAGTAGCGAATAGTTTATGGAGTGTGATTACTATCCCTCTGTCAAAGGGTAGTAAGATAATTTTCTGCTCTATTAAACTCTTCAGTAAAACTCTTAGTCTGTACCTGCAACCCTGATAAGGAATTTCGGCTCAATACGCGCTCAGCTACTTCCTCTGCAGAGTTTCCCCTCATGTTGGCAGTTACCTGCCATGAAATTTATCACGAACCAATTGTTTTTGAAACAAGTGAAATGTTGGGAGGAGATTTTACACACTGTGAATTGACCCAAAGCACACAAATGAGCCTCTAGCCTTTCAAGCTTTTCATGTGTTATATCTAGCACATCCTTACGTGTCAATGATTTCCTGCTAGCAACAAGGACCGCCTGTGCAGAAATATTAATCATAATATTTTATGTCCATCA